AAAAAAAAAGCGTAACTGGTGTTTTTATAGCTGTTTTTTCCCAAAACCCTTTTTACTGAACAAGTATCATTTTCACTAAACTATAGTTTGCTAAACTGTCAACGACTTACTTTTTGAAAGGAAGAAGAGAAGAACTTTTTTTATAATCAAAAGTATTGTAACAAGTGAATTTTGCATTTTTTTTACTCTTTTTTCGTTACCATTTTAGAATAGATGACTTCGAGAATAGTACCGCTGCTTTAACAAATCGAGCAAAACGTGAATCGTCAGTTGAATATCGAAGTTGCAATCAATTGGAAGCACAATTTCAACTAGAAATTGTAGAGTTTTCAATTGAACATCATATCTTTTGAATTTATCTCATACTTAGACTGTCTATTAGCAAATCTGTTGTTAGAGCCACCAAACGTAAACTCAAGGTTGCAGCTTAAGACGAAAACTGACTGCTAATGTGAAAGGAATTTTAGGTGCTAATTCCGCTTGCAATTGCAATGATCCCTGTTGGTCTTTTGGCATTATTACTTTGCGTCTTCTGTTGCGGGCCTAAAGAATCTCGAGGTAAGGTTATATTCTGTAGCAAAAAAACAAAATTTGCTCAAGTTTTAGTTATCTATCCTTGCAGAAATAATCACCATCTAATTGCCTGAGCTGTGCTGTATGTTTAGAGAAACAACTAAAAAACATGTAAAGTTTAAACGTCGTCTTAAGTTTCATTCACTTTTTTCCACAGTTTCATCATCAGTACTGCGCCGTTGACAGGTTGCAAAGTAATTCTAACAAAACTACTCTTTTTTTCCATATAATCAAAAAAAACTGACAACCGATTTTTAAAAGCATCATTTATTTGACTGTAGTGGATTATAAATTATTTGCAAAAATAAAAAAAAAAAAGAAAGAAATTGTGTCTGTTGAAAGTTTTGACGGAAAAAAAATAAAATCAACTTTTTTTTTTGTCTTCCGATTCTTATAAATTAACCATGGCAGCAACTGGGACAGACAAATGAGGTTTTGAAAAAAAAAAAAAGCAAAAATAAACAAAATTTAACAATAAAATAGACAATAACAGGTGAATAACAGGTAAAATAGAAAACAGTTCCTTATCAACAATTATGGCATATTTTCAGAAGAAAATAAAATCAGAAAACAAAAAAAATATATATATAATTTCAGCTTTATTAAGACGAATAAAATATAGTATTACAATTTATATATATATATATCCGCTTAATTATTTTACCGTATTTTTGTTCATATTGTTTTTTTTCTTTTACCAATAAATTTTTCTTTACTACAAGAAGATATAAAAATATAATTGATAAGTGTAAAATTATTATATAAACAATCAAAGTAGCAGCAATTTTTGTTCATTCAGGTAAAATGCCAGAAAAATTTTCTTCAAAAAAGAAAAGCGCTGAACAGGCCAGTGATCCCAATGAAATTGACGGTATTGAATTGGTCTGTAAAGATGGTATTGTTATGCGAAAGGACAGCACAAAAACGCGTTTTAGTACAGCCATATATTTTATTGAATCAAGACGTGTAAGTATCGATATTATTGACGATACCGGATCCATAATATCTGTACAACCGGCCAGTAATGATGATGATAACGATTCCGGTTCAGAAAATACAGCAATGGTATCAACAGCAGCAGCAGCAGCAGCAGCAACAGCAGCAACAGCAACAGCAGCAGTAACAACAGCAACGGTTTCAAATTTTTCAACTAACGTTGCTGATACCGGCAACGATAGTCGATTGACAGATCAAGCTAATGGTTAGTTG